GATAGCGGAGGGGGTGGGGTTGCGTGAGGGCGGCATAGCGGAGGGGGGGGGGTGCGAGCACTTTGCTGCAAATGTTTTACAGAATAAGTTCTGAACGGAGCGGCGTAGTCACGCCAATTTTTCATAGCTGTAAGCGCGGGTCTTTGTATTATTTTGCGTGGGCCGCTGACCCCCGCCATTCCCAGCTCCCGCTAGGGTCATGAGCTTGCCCAACGTTTTGGGGTCTTTGTGCAAACAGAAGAACTAAAACTGAAGTTCAAGATTAAATCAACTATCATTTTTCTGCTTCTTGTTTCACGGGTAAAACGAAAAAAGAAAATGCGAATTGCGGTGCCATGTTCGGTCGAGCGTAACTCACAATGCTAAAGACCCTTTAAAACTCCACGTTCGTACCCTGTTTACCCAAGTATTTCCTGCATGCTGCATGCTATTTAATACACAACCAAGACACTACACAAGGCAGCGAGCAAAGAAAGACAAGGCCGGCATATTCAGTTACGCCTGCTAAACAGTCATGTAAAGCATCCACTGAAATACGTTGTCAGATCACTTGTGATACCTCTGAGGGGCCTGTCCGTCAACCAGCCGTCATGGGTGAAACGGATGCTGCTCGCCGCAATGTTGGACAGTGCTGTTTCGCGGGCACATTTGAATGCCTGGGAGCAATTGTCGTTTTTGGAGTAGGATATGTTTGATTATTGGGCATGATAGGGCTCCGCGTAACCATACGCAGCTGGAATTTAACGCACCTGAAAATCAGTGTTCAAAAATTTTGGCGGCCGCTGCAAAACACCGACGCTCAGCCGTATTCAATGCCACTACACGGACAGTCCCGGACGGGCGGCACATGACTGATAAAGCCCCGGCCGACGCCTCGTCACCAGACACGTCGATCCCGAGACAGCCTCGGCCGTGTGAGAGGCGACACATGACTGATAAAGCCCCGGCCGACGCCACGTCACCAGACACGTCGATCCCGAGACAGCCTCGGCCGTGTGAGAGGCGACACATGACTGATAAAGCCCCGGCCGACGCCTCGTCACCAGACACGTCGATCCCGAGACAGCCTCGGCCGTGTGAGAGGCGACACATGACTGATAAAGCCCCGGCCGACGCCACGTCACCAGACACGCTACCTCGAGACAGCCTCGGCCGTGTGAGAGGCGACACATGACTGATAAAGCCCCGGCCGACGCCACGTCACCAGACACGCTACCTCGAGACAGCCTCGGCCGTGTGAGAGGCGACACATGACTGATAAAGCCCCGGCCGACGCCACGTCACCAGACACGCTACCTCGAGACAGCCTCGGCCGTGTGAGAGGCGACACATGACTGATAAAGCCCCGGCCGACGCCACGTCACCAGACACGCTACCTCGAGACAGCCTCGGCCGTGTGAGAGGCGACACATGACTGATAAAACCCCGGCCGACGCCACGTCACCAGACACGCTACCTCGAGACAGCCTCGGCCGTGTGAGAGGCGACACATGACTGATAAAACCCCGGCCGACGCCACGTCACCAGACACGCTACCTCGAGACAGCCTCGGCCGTGTGAGGGCGGCACATGACGCACTTCTGCCCGCAGACCGGTTATCAAAAAACATCCAATAATGTAGCATTGCAACGGGGATGGTCGCTATTTGAAACCCGAATGCAATTTTCACGTCCCTTTCAAGCATTATTTACAGCCCGTTTCATAGACCTGACGAAAAACGTGAGTTGAGCTCCTGTTCATCGCGCTTTTCGTGCATTTCAGGTTTGGTACAATATCCGGCCCCTGCCTAATGACAATAGTGTAAACATCTTGCTATTGGCATCCGTTAAATGGGTGTCTGTGGTGCTACATGTTTTGTTTCTTTGCCTGTATGTTCTCATTTCCTCTACGTTTGACACGGGGCTTGTAAAAAACGACATTCCATAATACAAACGTGCATACATACGTACATGCATGCTAAAAAGCATATATTTCTTTGTCATGCCAACTCGTTCACATGCTGTGCTTGCCTGCGTATGCTGATACACCTTTCAAAGTATAGCACTTCAATCTGGACAATAAATGGACTGCAACATCCTGCACCTCTTTTAAGTTATAGAACAAGTGTAAAATTAGTTTGCTTGCAACCGGAAGCAGGGAAGAGTAGAGATCCATGGCTTGAATTCTGACTGGGCCGAGGATGTTTGTGGTGCTCCCCAAAGATTGGTTTTTCGGGATCAGCCCATTCATGATTTTCGTCGGGCGATTTGCTCGAAGCGTGAAGCGCGGTTAAGATGTTCGCGGATGCTGCTGAGGTGCACTGCCGCGTTCTGCGGCCCCCGGTCAGATGCTGCTGAGTGCACTGCCGCGTTCTGCGGCCCCGGTCGCTTTTCCTCGCCAGGTTGACCGCAAATCCCACTGACTAGTCAAATGGCCGGAGGAATGCAATCACTCGTGTTCAACGCATGCAGGCGTGAAGTTAGCACCCGCAACCCGCGACTGACCTTCCTGAACGGCACCGACATCGCAGTCGTGCCCACTGAAAACTTCCTTTCAATTTTTGTGAAAGCTCATGCGTGATAATATTTCACATTCAGACGGCGGAAGTGATCTCCCCAGCCCAACCGAATGCTGGCAGCCGTCTATTACCCTACGCAGTCCTAAAAACGAATTCACCAACACTGAAGTTCTTACTTTGCTTCTGTTGTCAGGACCACGGTTTGCTCGTTTTGCCGCGCCTACTTGATGTTATAGCATCATCACCTGCATTCCGTTCGGCAAGCCGAATCAAGAGCTGCTGGAGCGGGATCAATGAAAAAACGCGTTTTGTGCGAGAAGTAGGGCACCGGCCATATATTGAGTGACTCAGACTCCCCCATCCGCTGCGAGAAGTAGGGCACCGGCCATATATTGAGTGACTCAGACTCCCCCATCCGCTGCGAGAAGTAGGGCACCGGCCATATATTGAGTGACTCAGACTCCTCCATCCGCATTTACTGTCCTACCGAAGTCACAGACGGACCATGACTGCAGTGTTCAGGACGTTTTACGAAGGCATGTCTTTGCCGGTGATCGAGTTCCTTACAAGACGCGACTCGCGAGTGACAAGAAGACACAAGTGGAGTCTGAAAAGCCCTACGGTCAGGAGCTTCGTTCGTCGAAAGTCAATCAAATGACGTTATTTCGTTACCTGCACAGGATCTAAAAAACATCGTGATTCACAAACCAAGTGGCTTTTTGGTTCCTGATCACCGGGTACTGGAGACAATTGATAAGTTAAGGTTGGAATTGGTTGGTGGAACTGACAGCCATAGCCCAATGTTTTCGGATCAACAGTTCAAATATGATTTCCGAACCCACCTGCTCTTGCTGGATGTTAACACGTGGTAGGAGCAGCAAGCATGCAGTCAGTCTGCCTGGATGTTTGTATGGCTCAACACACTTTGATTTGGTTTCGAAGCTCGTAAAATGAAAAAGCCGAGCAAGACGCCCACTATGCACAAACATTGCGCAGGTTGCTCCATACTTTAAACACGACTGGGCAACCAGCCAGTAAGGTGAGGTAAGGTTTGGTTAGGTTAGGTTAGTTGGTTCTGGATTATTCCGTTGTCCTTGGTTAGGTTAGGTTAGGTTCAGGTTATATTAGGTTAGGTTAGGTTATCTTCAAAAGCCCATAGCGCACCCTGAGCCCTCTTGAGGACTATAGCGCACCGTAAGGGTCTACGGCAGAGCTTATAACTCTGAGACTGTTAGGGTTACGGACCTAGGGTTCTGGACAGAAGTACTCAAACAATTGGGCTAGCTTTCGGCTTTCGTAAATTTGACCTAGGTCAGGTCAAGGTCAGGCTAGAGCATGCGAAAAACGGTGTGCATCTCGAAAAAGTGATTGAAAAATATTTTGAGGGTCAAGTGCCAAATAAATATTTTTTGTTGGTTTTTCGGATTTTTTCTCACCTTAAGTAGTGTTTTAAAATTGATTGTGATGTCTTGTTTATCGTGTCGTATCGTGGATTTTATGTCTATCGCAAATGGATGGTTACCAGCAAAAAAACCCGAAGGCGCCCAAAACCTCGAAATTCGCCAGTCCCATGCGCAACGCTGCAGGAAAAATAGCCTCCAGACAAAGTTTTGTCCAGAGATTGTTTATCAGCCGATTTCTGTTCTGTAAACGGCATCAGACAGATTTGCACCCCTTGCTTCATTTATCTAGTAAACGTTTTCAAAATAAGACCAAAATTTCGTTAAAATCTGATGTGTATTTTTTAACGTTTTATAAACGAAAAGAGTGATGAAACCCGTAACAATCTAGCGTACTATTGGTATTCTTCAACTCTCTGATTCTCTACCGCTGTTGCTCAGTTAGAAGGCATCGAACATGGACATATATTTGTACAAACCGCTGTTTTTTTCCAAGTGCAATGCGTACCGCTAGGGAGACATATGCCTCCATCTTGCAACGTATAGCGAGAGTAATTCTTCTTCAACTGCTGTTCCGTAGACAGTATGATATTGATAACAACCATGAGGACATTGTACGTAAGTGGTGTTTTTTTCCAAATTTGCTCTCAAATTTGGTTATGACTGACTTTTCATTTTTTGACATTCTTGAAATGCAAGCAAAGTTTCTTAGGCCTAGAAAGGTGTCTATAAACAATCATAACGGTTAAACTTGCCTTCTGATGCAGTTTTAAAAACGATGATTTTAAAAATCTAAGACCGGTGGCGCCGGACTGCTCTGCTCCGCAGGTTCATCAGCTGACCGGGTGGCCAGCTGAACAGCTGGGTTCTCGTTGGTCTGTGCAGACAAGGCCGGCTGATGATCGGCTGTGTCTTGCGTCGCCGAGTGGGTCTCTCTCTGCTTTTGGGTAGCGTGCACGGCCGGCTGATGGTCAGCTGTGTCTTGCGTTGCCGGCTGTGTCTCGGGCGGCTTCTGGGCGACGTACAAGGCCGGCAGATGGTGGGCTCTGTCTTGCGTCGCCGGCTGGGCTGCTGTTACCTGTGCGACCGACAGGGTGTCCTGGCCAGTGATTGGGTTTTCGAACCCAAGCAGGCTGAAAACTTCCTCTGGACTCGGGTATCTGTTCAGGCCTGGTTTCTTAACAGGTAATCCTTCTTTGCCGTCGCAGAGGTGTGACGCCGCAGGGTGGCCATGTTGTCGGTCTTAGCCTGGGTAATACGACCTGCGTCCAGCAGCTCCTGAGTTGCCGTCGTGTGGTTCGTCTTGCCCTTGAGCCCAGCAGGGCACCGACGAGGGGACATCCTCGAAGATCTGCCGGACCCAGAGCGGCATCTGCGAGTGGAAGGCCTGAAGGCCGGGAAGGAGCAGCCACTGGTCTTGTCCCGTGATGTCATCATGACGAATTGCTTCCTTTATGTGGTGGCGGACACGTTGGATATAAACATGACGGCATCGGACTCCTCTGCCATGATGTACGCCGTTGTTGGACCATAGATGCCCTTTTCCTTGCCGCCCACGTGAGTCACTGTCCAAGATCCGTCCTCCTGACGGAATCCGGTCAGGAACTCGGCTGTCTTGAGGTTCTGCCAAACCCAGGTACGCCGGCCCTGAAACGTCGCCAGGGCGATATATAAGATCTGGCGATATGCTACGGCCGTAGTGTTCCACTCCTCGAGGTCTGTTGGTGGGCGTTCCGAGACGCATCTCATCCACGCGAGGGCTGGGCGGCGCGCCTGGACCCGCCTCTCGATGCCCAGGTCTTGTTCGTGCCATGCTTGCGATGTCCTAGAATTGCTGACTTTGGGTGGAAAGCAACACCCTATGAGGAGGAATTTTTAACTCCTTTTCCCCACATTTTATGTGAATTTTTCACTCCTGCTTGACATTGTCTAATCGCACATGCCAAACTCATATTTCCCATACTGGGGTTTTCAGATGTCATCCAAAGCCGAGCTCACTTGAAACCACCTAGCATAAACGAGGCTCCGCAGAACCTGGACACCTATGGCCATGTCCTGCCTCACCTACATCTGAATCATGTCTATGTATCCACAGAGAATGGGCGCCAGGTACCTCCAAGCCCAAGAACCCCAGCGACCCCAGCCGCTTGCACACATTAAGTTTGGTTTGTTTACAAAATGCATCACAGTCTGCAGCTGTGCGCCAAATGCAAGGTTTTCACGCATCCCGTATTTTTTTGAAAGCAGAGGCTGGTACAAACGCCAGCAAGGCCTGATAGAGAATTTACTCCACGTACTTCTTTTTTCCCGAGGAAACTTGAATACCAAACTGCATCGCTCCCGAAATGCAGGAGAGAAAAGTTTTAAAAAATGTCTTTTAATTTAAACTTGCAAGATGAATATCACCACTTGAGCACTTCTATTAACAGATTTGAAGTCAAATCAGCCGATAACAAAATTTTGCGAGAAAAGTACCAGTCTTTATAGTTATTTAGCTTCTTTTGTTTTTCTTGGCATCGTACCAGTGTGATACTACTTTATTCTTCCTTCCTTTTCGATTGCCTTTACAGGTACCATCTGCTGATCAAAATGTTGAACAATTTCTCTGCAAGAAGCTCCAACGGCAAGCTTGTATGTATTTCATACGTAGATTGGATTAATTCGCCAGGCGCCCAAACATGTTTGATATACACCCAAGCGTGGACAATTCACAGGGAATGAAGGAGACAATCTGAAGCACGGAACTGATTTTTACCGCCATGTTTGCCCTCTTAAACCTTCGGTTAACCGTTTTCTTGGTTCATGGCGGTGCTCAATAAAGATAAATCCAAGCTTTTCGAGTTTCTGACTTACCATGTTACCGAGCAAAGCTTAAAGTAGCCTTGCCTAATGCTGCCTCTGGATAGCAGCATTAGAATATGCTGCCATATAGAGCCTTGGGACAGACCTGACGCAGCTAATACAGATGTATTTGATGGCGAAATTCTGCCCTGTGGAAATGTTAGCCATTTTCTGTTTTAATGCATCGAGTTTTGCCATAGGACAAATTTTGATGCCTCAAGGCATGCAATTGGCTCATTTTGTTACATATTCTTGGTTATTTGCTCCAAATTTCTTAAAGTGGTCCCTCATGGCTGCTTTAACCAGATGTTTTCTATAGTTGTCATGGTTTGCTGACCGGCAAATGACTGTACTGTATATATGCACTATATTTTTAACACAGGGATACTCTAAGCTGCACAGCAATTATAATATGAGTTAAATATTGCTATGTAAGATATAGTCAGACCACCCCATTTAAAATGTGAAGCCAACATCTCAAACTTGTCATTAAATATGAATAAACAAGCCCAAATAGATGCATTTGCCGCAGCTGAAAAAGCGAGCAGCAATGCTGGCGTGGTCATCTAAAATTTATGTTATTTTTGGAGAAGGGAGATTGTTTTGTGGAGCATGCCCATTATTGCCCGTGACACAGGCTAACCATGACAGTCAAAATAAGTTGTTCAAAGTGATTTAAAGTGTTTTAATTTGCATGTGGTCAACTTTGTCCGATGTCAACCAGCATGCAAAAATAAACTGAAAAAAATGCAAGTTGAAACCAGCCAAAAACTAGCTTTAAATATAATGTTTTATCACAAGTGCTGCTGTCAACATATAGGTGAGTTGAGATGATGTTCATCATATGGGCTACTCTAAGTTAGGTTAAGTTGGTCAAGTGCATGGCAAGTGGCAATATGAATTGTGCAAGAACCATTAACTCACAACTGCTGCTGTGAGACAAACAGGTTATACAGGATGAGACGATGTAAGGCCTCCTTAGATTAGTCATAGGCTACTTTCATGGAAATAAGCATTGGTATTTTTTAAAAACAGTGACAAAATGTTTGTTTTCCGTGACTCCACCTTAACAGAAGCCAGAAGTATGTATATTGTGTTTGTGATTGTGAAGCCAGAAGTATGGCTCTTGTCACTCTAGCCAAGGGCCAGATACCACGAAGGGCGCTTGCCTCCATCATCAGGGCAACATCTCCTTCCTTTAAGGCTCTATTTTCCTTAAACCATTTTCGCGACTTTGAAGAGTCGGAACGTATTCTTGACGCCACCTTTTCCAGAAGTGTTCTGCAAGAACCTGACTTTGTCGCCAGCGTCGCCTGTTGTTGATTTCCTTATCTTGGAAGCATCCTTGGGACATATTCATTCTAGCACAACCCAGGAGCATGTGATTGGGAGTCAGAGGTTCAGGATCACTGGCATTTAAGCCCACATATGTTAATGGTCTTCCATTGATCATCGACTCGGCTTCTGTGAGCAGGGTGAGAAGGACTTCATCCGTGAAGCAAGAACTTTCAGGCATCACTCTCAGTGCTCGTTTTACGCTGCCCACCATTCTCTCCCACGCTCCACCCATGTGAGGTGCACCGGGGTATGTGAATTTCCATTCGATGTGTTGTTGGCTCAGTTCATCCATCAGTTGTCTTTGATCCCATTCAGCTAGATATTCTTTCAGTTCACGTTCTCCTCCAACAAAGTTTGAGCCATTGTCAGAGAAGATTTCTCTTGGCTTTCCCCGACTGGCAAAGAATCTCCTCAATGCCATTAGAAAGCTACCGATGTCAAGGCTGTGTGACACACCTCTAGGTGAATAGCCCTTGAAGCCAAGCATGTGATAAGAACTCCATATCTCTTTTCAGCTTTGCACAGCTTCTTCATTGTTATGGGGCCACAATAATCAATGCCCACTGTGCCGAGCGTCCGAGAAGTGCCATTTCGGCAGCTGGGCAGAGCAGCCATTCTGGGTGGTTGCGGTTCTACTCCCCTGCGATGACACTGCCGACATCCGTTCAGAGTGCGCCGCACGGCCGATCTCGCCTGCGGAAACCAGTATTGTATCCGGGCTTCTGTCAATGCCCGTTCCAAACCTGAGTGGAACACACACTGGTGGCCATGAACTACGATCAGGTGTATAACCTTGTCTGTCGGTTTAAGTATAACCGGATAGCGTGCTGAATATGGGACTGGAGCTTTGTCGAGACGTCCACCAATCCGAAGTACGCCATTCTCATCCAGAAAGGGTGCCATCTGTCGGAGGCGATGATCCTGCTCACATTTCAGCTCAGCTCCTGCCCTTATGCATCTCATCTCCTAGGAGAAGCGCCTTTCTTGGAGCTCTCGAAGTATCATGTTTTCAGCTTCTTTGACTTCGCTTGCTGAGAGTGGTCCAGCCCGCAGCCAGTCGAGCTTCTATCTTGCAGTCTTCATCATGTCTGGCTGCAAAGCTGTTCACGAATGGCGCCATCCAGGCGACAACTCGTCGGTAGGTGGTCCATGATGAGAAACGCTCAGCAGAAGGAATTGCTGCTGGTTTTCTGGAGTGCAGCGTCGTCCCAAAGGCGCTTCTTACTTCAGGGTCCTCATCCATCTTGATGGACTCCAATCTGCCCTGGCGTGGCCAGCAGTCTTCGTCTTGAAGCGGGAGCTGAGGTCCGCTCAGCCATCTTGGCTCCGATATGACCTCCTCGCAAGACTGACCGCGAGAACAGGCGTCTGCTGGATTAAGGTGCTGCTTGGAGCTCCAAGCGGACGACTGTAATATGTTTGAGAAGGGCAACCTCTGTATTAGCCATAGCAAGCATGCAGCTACTTGAGCCATCGTCTTCGATGGGCCTCACGTACGCCACTGCTCCAAACGCTACTTGTGATTCATCACCGAACACATGTAATTCGTGCCGGCACTCCTTTTCTTTACGCAGATGATGCTTAAAGCACCTCGGCATTTCACAACAGGGGGGAGGTTAGACCGCCATGCGGACCATGTCTGGAGATCCTCTTCATCCAGTA